CACACACACACACACACACACTACACACACATATACACACAGACACACACAAACACACACACTATACGTACACTACACATGTACGTACACACATATACACACACACTACACACACACATTTTTTTTACTTATTTTCTGTTTAATTTCTAATGTTTAGATGAATTAGAACTATCTAGTTTATTTTTAGAATGTTAGCAATGTTATCATCGATGAATTAGAAATATGTTAATGTTTAGTTCAACTAGTTGAGTTAATATAATAACTAGTTTACTTTTAGTAAATATAATGCTTAGTTGAACTAGTTGAATTAATATATAGAACTAGTTTATTTTTAGTAAATGTTTAGTTGAACTAGTTGAATTAATATATAGAACTAGTTTATTTTTAGTAAATGCTTAGTTGAACTTGTTGAATTAATATATAGAACTAGTTTATTTTTAGTAAAAGCTTAATTGAACTTGTTGAATTAATATATAGAACTAGTTTATTTTTAGTAATTAAATACTTAGTTGAACTAGTTGAATTAATATAACTAGTTTATTTTTAGTAAATACTTAGTTGAACTAGTTGAATTAATATATAGAACTAGTTTATTTTTAGTAAATGTTTAGTTGAACTAGTTGAATTAATATATAGAACTAGTTTATTTTTAGTAAAATGCTTAGTTGAACTAATTGAATTAATATAACTAGTTTATTTTTAGTAAATGTTTGGTTGAACTATTTGAATAAATATAACTAACTATTTTTAGTAAATGCTTAGTTGAACTAGTTGAATTAATATATAGAACTAGTTTATTTTTAGTAAATGTTTAGTTGAAATAGTTGAATTAATATATAGAACTAGTTTATTTTTAGTAAATGCTTAGTTGAACTAATTGAATTAATATAACTAGTTTATTTTTAGTAAATGTTTAGTTGAACTAGTTGAATTAATTAATAGAACTAGTTTATTTTTAGTAAATGTTTAGTTGAACTAGTTGAATTAATATATAGAACTAGTTTATTTTTAGTAAATGCTTAGTTGAACTAATTGAATTAATATAACTAGTTTATTTTTAGTAAATGCTTAGTTGAA